CACAAATACCTAAAAGAAATTAGGGATCACCCGCCATATAAGATACAAAGGTTTGAACCATTTGACTTGCTTTCAAAATTGTCCAAATCTAAGACAAAGTTATCATTTTTTTTTTTTTTTTTTTTTTTTTTTGGAATGGCACATCTACTTTAACTGTGTTGCAATGAAAATGAATATTGCATTCGTTAAAAGTAACAATTGTTATAATTTTGGGTGGTGAAGTACGTAGAAATTTGGGTAAAATTTCTTGGCCTATCAACTTCCTCAGGACTATGTGAAAATCAAGGTTGTAATGAATAGATGACATGCTTGCAACCACCATGTTAATAGTCATCGTGAGAATTACAAGAGAATTGCAAGAGCTTTGACTGGCACATTCTCTAGCCATGCTCTGATTCCGTGGTTCTTCACTGCAGGAAAAAAGTAAGTAACTTAGGTTATTAAATACAGGCTTTGATAAACAAAAAAAAAAAAACACCAAAACATGATTCCGGAAATCTCAGAATTGTTTTGGGACTTTTTGTCATCATCATCATCATCATCATCATCATTCATAGCCAAAAGTGTTTCATTGTTTGACAAAGGCCTTGGCATGGTTCTTCTAGCGTATTTTGTCTTGGGTTTCACACTTCCAGTTTGTTATTTTTTTCCAGCATTCGTCTAATTCATTCCTCCATCTTTTCAGAGGCTTCCCTTGTTTCTTATATGTATATCTTGGTGTCCATTCTGTCACCCTTATAATTCATCTGTTATCTTTGATTCTACTGATATGTCCTACCTATCCCCATTTCATTTCTTTAACTATAAGAAGCACATTCTTCACTTTGGTCTGTTCTCTTATCCACTTGATGGTCATCCTATCTCATACTCTAATGTTTAACATACTTCTTTCTATCTTTTTCTGTGCCATTTGTAGCTTCTTTTCCATGTATGTATTCATTGTCCATGTCTCTAAATCAAAGGGGACAGATGGCATTGAACACTTTCCTTTTCAGACAGGTAGGGAGATTGCTACTCAATATATCTTTGTGCTTTGTAAACGCTGTCCATCCTGCATTTATTATTCTTGGGATTTCTTTCTCCAGAGTTTTATCGCTGAGGCTGAACCGTTGCTAACGATATACATACTCTTCTACTGCTTCTATCTCCTTGTTGTTGACCTTCATTGTACAAGGGATGGTTAGTGGTCCAAACATTACATTTGTATTGCTGGAATCATTTTAACCCACACCTGAGGCTTTCATCTGTTAGGGCCTATAGTGTTCTCTACAAATATTTAGTCTGTTAATTACGTTCACATCACTGAATATGTTTGGTCTGTTTGTCATGAGGAAATCAATCTCATTCATTTTTTTTTTTTTTCATCTGGACCTTCCCATGTCCATCTTATTGATGTTTTCTTTCTGGAGAAGGTGTTCATGATCTTCACGTTGTTTGCTTGCCCATTCTATCAACATTTCCACTCCCTCGTTTTTTTTCTCCACTAACAACATTCCCTGTGGAATTCTGTTATTTACCACGGTTTATCCCGACCCATAACGTTATATATACATAATGGCCGATTATAATTATGTAATATTTTGTATCTGGTTGCAAGCCAGCTGTATAGACAAGCGTGAAATGGGAGTAGACAATTAATAACATTTGCCCTCATTTCCGTTCAGTTAATGTTTTGTTTTCAGCAGTTTCACTTCATTTTAAGGATAAAATGGGGATATCGGTAAATGCTTTATCAAGACGAGCCACTGTGTGTGTGTGTGTGCGTGTGTTTGTGTGTATGTCTGTGTGTGTGTGTGTATAAGAGAGAGAGAGAGAGAGAGAGAGAGAGAGAAATGGGTGGTGAGAGGTGGCGGTAATTGTCAGTCCAACTGAGCTAAGATCCTACAATAACTACAAAAATTAAAAAATAATAATTATTATCTATGATGGTGGTTTGGTTGACGTGGGTATGCTTCCGATATTGACCATAGGACATGCAGGCCTTTGGACAATGGTTGAGAACATCCGTCTGACCATGAACCCTTTACCAGGGGCACAGATTAGTTATGTGAACATTATGACGGAGGATTGTGTCAGAAATAAGACATAGACATATCTGTGAATATCTTGTGAAAATCATCCTTGGACCATACTACAGGGTATCCCCCAAGAAGGTAGATTTGCCATTCAACTTTTTATTTCGAGATTGTTTTAAAACGTCTGAAGCTAGGGTCCACCTATTTGCTTCCGGACCCCATATAAATGATGTCGTCGAGTTGTATTAGCAGTCTCAAATATTGCTCAAGTACCTTTAACCGATTTTACAAAAGCAGCAGTAGATGGATCTCTGGTAGTGAGTTTCAGGGTCTAAATCGAATTTTATCAAACGTCCTTCATATCTTGGATATATGTCTCATTGGAGCCCATGGGATTTTGGTCAGTAGGTCCTATAGGTCCTACAGTGGGGAAAGACACATGTTCGCCTAATTGAGTTACCACATAATCTCAATTAGATTTGTGTTGAGATTTTGTCCTCATGTATTCATAATGGCCGATTAAATTATGTTGAATATTTTGTGTCAGGTTACAAGTCAGCTGTGCTGAGAACCATAAAATGGGATTAAACAATTAAGTGCATTTGCCCACATTCCCGTACGATTAATGTAATGTTTCACCTATCCGTAATGGTAAACTGCGAATATTGGTATATGGTTTATTTCAAGATATGAACCAATGTGTGTGTGTGAGAGAGAGAGAGAGAGAAATGAGGAACAGATGGAGGGGACGGGGTCGTGCTTGAGTTAGACAAACTAATGAGAGAGCGAGAAGAAGGAAAAAGATGGGTAATTGCCAGCTAAACTTCATGTATACGAACGTGATGCCCTCATTCTGGTGGATTTTTTTCCCAATAGTTTCACTTGTCATCATCCGTGGTAAATAACATATACTGGTAAATATTTGCAGTCGATATATTTAATATCTGTTGTCACTCTACAGAGAGAGAGAGAGAGAGAGAGAGAGAGAGAGAGAGAGAGATCGTGTGTGAGAATGATATGTGTGAAAATAAGAGAGCGGTGATTGGCAGCTAGCTGAAGTGATGAGAGAGAGCAAAGAGAAAAGAAGGAGATTATAAAAAAACCGCATCAACCCAATCCGACATTAAAGAGAGGTAGATAGAGCTATCAGAAGCAATGATTGTTTTGTCATCGTTATTCTACATAGTGTGCCATAAAAATGTCTTTAAGCCAAGCAGAATTGCTTAACCCTTGCCCAAAACAAGTAGTGTAATGTAAATCATAATTTGCACAGAGCTATACCGTTAACAGTGACATACTAGTGTATGGTTATATTAAGAATGGTTGTGATTGGATAGTTTTATTTGTGTCACCTCAGTCTCCATAGAGACATTGTAGTGACAATATATCCGTGGGCGAAACCTGTTCTAGGACGTCTCATTGCTGGATCAGATATCAGGCAGAACAAGCAAGGTAAGTTTTGTCCGAATAAAGCATTATTTCATAAGTACAATGTCCAATTTACATTTACAATCAGGATCACATCATGAGCAGAAATATCATCCAGTTTTCTGTGCATCTAAATACATATGTTTGACTTTACTATTATCAAATGTCTACATTGTAGTTATTTTGTTACGTTTATTGTCAATTATATAGAGTTAAGTGAGATAGCTCACCTACAGCATACATTGTAATGGGCCCTTACTCCATGGCTCCCCAGCAAACTGTATTGGAAGACAGAGGCGAATATTTTACAATGATATAAATTAAGTTAGAAGGAATGTGTATATATCTGTTGTAAACTTATCAAAGTAAGAATAACATTAAAATAATTAATTATTAAATGTTAAATATATTAAGTCTAAAATCCATTTAAATGTTAAGTAAACTCTACAAAGTAATCAATAATACTGTGATATAAAATATGAAATGAATTGATATTTAATAAAAAGTTTTTTAAAAATGTAATGATATTGATTAATGAATGTTATCATTTTAATTGGTCTGTTCATTAGGTTCATCGGTACCTTTGGCGACATGAATTATTATATATTTGTGGATTTTTGTCTTATTTACGTTATTCTGATTTTCAACACAGATTAACAATAGCTTAAGGTTCCGATTAACAGGGTGGCTATCTTCTTAACCAGCCAAGATATACCAACATGTTGCATATCGATAGAAAGCTTATTTCAACAGATTTTTATTTCATATCCTTATTTAATTATGTAATCGGAACGTAAGGAGATATAACGCTTAATAGGTGATCTCAGTATGACCTTTATACCCTTAAAACTAGAAGTCCACTACAAATGAACATGTGTAGACATCTTCACTCGATAGCCCTCTTTGGTATCAACAAGAATGGGTCTCAGATTTTCAATATATGTTGAATTAGCAAAGATATCAAAGTTAACCAGTTTATCAGGTCAACAAGACCCCCTAGCCAGAGAAAAACATGCAAAAGTTGAAAATGGAGCTGCCAGCCTGGTGTTATACAATCCCAGACACATATTTAATAATGATACCCGCATGAAAACGCAGTAGATACTCCATCGCAGTAGACTCCTGCAATCATACTGCAAACATGCTTCAAATCTGCTTCGATTTGGGAGCTAATTAGCATATTTGAAACATGCTTCTATCAGGCTGCTAATCTACTGTAATAATGCTCCTCTCTGTACAAAGCTATGTACTTTTTGGAGTAGAATTGCAGTAGGCTATACTGCATTTCTACTGCAAATATGCTCTACACCACTACTGCGTTAATGTTTCTTTGCCACTTCGATACTACTGAATTTTCGTGAGGGGGTGTTTTTGTGAAAATAGTGGCATTGAGTAGAATGAAGTATTATCTACAAATTGACAAGTCACTTTTATCCTTAAGTTCCATGATATATCTTCAAACTGCAGATTACCGTTTCGAAGTTTATCAGATGGTAAACGCTGTCGTACGGACACTGTGCAACGACCAGATTGTTATACGAATTTGTGCGTTTGAAAATGGAAGTGTTTGGGAACATTGCGCTGTTATTGGGCCTGTGTCTCCGTGTTACTGAAGGCGCTGATATTTACTTCGGTATGCTCACTCCGATTGGCACGCCCAACGAGCAAATGTATGGCCCTGTTCAGCTGGCCCTCAACGACATCAACAACCATCCCGAAGTGCTGTCAGGGCACACGCTGCGTCTCGTCATCAAAAACACTTCGGTGAGTGGAGTTAACCCATAATTAATTCTTTTTGGTATGTGAATCAAGGATGAATATAATTTCAGTCTGTCTGAAGTATTTTTAATCTGTTATTTTCAATATGAAAGCAGAAAAAATATGTCAGAAAGTGCACAATTTGAAAAGCTGTAAAATTATTCATTTGATAATAGATGTTTTAAACAGGTACTACTTCAACTTTTAAGTTGTTAAAACATAACTGGACCGGTCGACTTTGTGACGCACCTAAATGTTATTACTCTACAGGGATTTTTTACCCCTTTCACAAGTTTGCTGCTGTTAATTAAAATGGGGCGTCGGGCGTGGGGGTTCTGTTGAGATGAATTTCTCACGTAATGGTAAAAATATTTCAATGATTGCAACTTTTAAGTTGTAAGTCTCTCACGGCGAACCGACCCAACAATGTTTCTCTAAAAATAGGGCCTCAGTCGACTAGACTCGACACCATCTTTCAAACATTTCCATCTGTCTTTAATGTTGTATGTACAATTCACCTTTCCCTTTTTAAGCACTGTAAATAGTTCAGTCATGTATTTCTTGTAGTTTGAAAGGAACGCTAAGGCACGTAGGCCCGCACTATATAGGCTTTATAGACTTGTTTACACTATAAAGGCTTGTTTACCCGCACTATATAGACTATATAGGCTTGTTTACAGGTGACATTATTGCAGTAGCTACTTAGTAGTTACCTTTGAAAAAATTAGTGCACTGATAATTAAGCCATTGTTTTCTTCTATCTGAAGGTGCCTGCAAAGGAATCTGTATATCATGTTGGAAACGCCGTGGCCAAGCTCCAAGATCTGATGACGTCAAAAACAGACCCTCCTGTCATGGCACTGCTCCATTACGGCAGCATCACTGAGACGGATGTGATAGGAGAGATCACGGGGAAACTGAAAATGACACAGGTATGATACACTTAAACAAAATGTAAACAGACTAAGATTAAAATCACAGTGTCCCAATTTGTGCGGTCAATTTTAAAAAGTATTTAACCTTTCATATTGATCTGGATGTGGATAATGTAAATATTTGATCAATAGTTGACCGACCTGTACTAAAGCCACACTGGCTTTCATGTAATTTACCCGACCTTTCTGCCCATTTTTATATCCTATTGTTCATGATTTTGGTCAATATTTTGCTACATACAATCAATATGGGTATACCTCTATAGTTGTCCATGTTATCTTGTGGACCCTGCTTATGAACAGCACAGAGAACTGCCTCCGCCCACTTCTTTGGGTATACACCTAGGTCCAAAATCCTGTTGAATAGATCCTTATATAGATACATGTATATTGCAGATTTCGACCGGAAGCTCGTCTACCATACTATCCCAAAGACTCGTCTTCCCATACTTGTACCGGACAATCGGCGCATTGCTAGACGTTATAAACATAGAAGTGGATTTTGTCGAGCGCTTCGGTTGGACCCGCGTGGCATTGCTTGCGGAGGACAAGAGGTCGTTTACAGAGGTAAGTGGGTACTAACATTTCCAGCGGACTGACAGCATAATATTGCTTTGCCTTTATAGGAATTCAAGTATTATTATCTGCCTGTGTGTCACGCATGAAATGTCAAATTAGGCTCATGTAACGGATGCTATTAATAAGTAAAACGAATTTTACATTTTGGCGGCTTAATTGCTGTTTGTCTGCATGCAAAACCTATACTTTTGTTTGAAGAAATATTAGATTTTTTGAAGAACAACTGTGTTTACTTTTTCTTTTCCGAGTAGATGTCGAAAGAAGTGGAAATTCTCCTAAGACAGTCGGGTATAGAAATTGTCACTTCTGTATTCTATAGAGTAGAGCAGCTGGGCCAAGTGATGGAAAAACTGAAGGTGAGGCTTTAAGCCTAAGTGAATGGATTTTAACTACAATACGAATTTCTTGGTTTAAAACTTAGCCAAATTAAGCTTCCCAAGATATAATGGGAGAGATGCATCATTCTTTGTGTTCAGTGGTGTCTTTCTCCTACCGTACTTGGATTAAGAATGTGTACATTTACCCCGTGGACCATTTGAAGATTACACTGCGATTAATGCGGTGGAAAATACAGTAGAGAGAGTGTATAATGATAGGGTCGCTAAACGATTGTTGACGGCATATAGTAACTAGCCTAATCCCCTGGTCGCCTNTATTTGCCCTACTTGGTACACAATCAATAGCCTTCATATAAAATTAGCCAGTTTTTTCTGTCGTTCTAGGAACTGGACGCAAGGGTAATTATGCATCATAGTAACAAACAGGGCTCATCGCTTTGCCATGTGTTTTGTCAGGTAAGTTAAAAATGATAGCGCACAACTTGCGTGTTATGGACTGAACCAACGAGCCGCCAAATTACAGATATCCCGGTAGTTTTATAAACACTGTCTGCCGGGTTAGGAACAGATGGATATGTTTTTGACTGGATTGTCTGACAGGAATGGTAGTCCTAGGAATGGAAGTCCGGGCTCCCATATGATTACTACAGGTTTGGGTTGGTCGGAGTCTTGGGATTAGTACATGTTTATGGGACGAATGTCACCTGTACATTTAGTAATTGGAAATGGACTATAGTTCCTAGCGGCCTTCCCGTCACTTCGGTAGCTAGACAACGACAATCCAATCCGAAGTGTAACTGGCTACGCTTACACGCAACACTTCTTGGGAATGAAAATGCTATAAAAATGCCATTGTATTTAGTTTTTTGGCATTTTTCAATTATACTTACAATTTCTCTTTTTATTTGCTATCAGTTTTTATTTGCTGTTGCTGACATATATTTTAATCAAATCAATGGCGGAGACTGACTGGAGCAGACCAAAATTGACCCTCTTGTGTCTCCCCCTGAAAGTCGTGCCTAACCTTTGGAAAGATTAAAGTGTTAGATTAAGTTGTTTTTTTGAAAGGGGAAATAGAGTGATACAGGGTACATGTACCGTATGATAGCATCTGTATATGGCAGCTCTGTATCCAACACAATATTCCTCACCTTTTAAAATGACATAGAACATATATTTGACATAGTATGTGGTTTGCTAATCATGTTTTTTTTTTTCAAACAGGCATACAAATATGGTTTGATTGGAAAGAAATATGTGTGGCTGACTTTGGTGCAACACGTCAAAGATTACCGCAACTTAGCATCCAACATGCATCAAAAAGGGCAACTCTCTTGCAACGCAGAGCAGGTGGTCCAAGCGGCAGAAGGGCAGTTCATTATATTCCGTGCTGAAGCTAAACATGCTAGCGAAGTTGGATATGAACCAATACGGCCATTTACAGTAAAGGTACACACAAAAGCAATGCACGCACACACACATATACATATCGTGCACGCGTTTCAAGCCATAATATGAACAAAACATAATCTCTTTAAGATGGAATACTTATGAACTTAAAGAGTAGTAAATTCCGTCGACAAGCGACGTTTTTTATATATGTATATACACGGGCGCGTATTTTTTTAGGATCATGCAGAAATTTTGAGGGAAATGAAAGAACAGGCTTGGTTCAATGACGACACCAGAAGAATACTATATCAAGTGAATTATGATGCCATATGGGCGGCTGCATTGGCCTTAAACAAGAGTCTTCCTCATATTCCGCCAAGAGTAATCACCAACTTCAAGTACACCGATCTGGGCACGGTGACGGATGCTCTGGTGCCAGAAATGAATCGCACCAACTTCTTCGGTGCGTCGGTAAGTATTTCAAGGTTTGTCAGATGTATTATAATGTAAGTGAAGAGTTAGTTGACAAGATTCACTGAAATGGGGCTTTGTTTTGCGTTTTCGCTATTATCGTCTTTAAAAAACAGTAGGCAAGTCATAGCTCTTAATGTATTTTCAAATTCCAGAGAGACATATTTGGAGTGAAATCATTGTTAACTTCTATTAACTATTCCGTAAGTTGCTGGGGGGGTCAAAGACAAAATGTTTTTCTATGATTTTCACTTGTAGAGCACAGAGATGGAACATCACCTGACTTTGTCTCGGATCGAAAGTTATACTTTCATGGGAGATATATAGAAGGAGTACTGCATTAGTAACTTGTAAGCTACACTATAAGGGAGACACACGTGCTCAACCTACCCTACCCCCCCCCCCCCAAAAAAAAAAAAGTTATTGCTTATGTAACATCATGACATTTTTTTCTCTTTCAAGGGTCCTGTGTCTTTCTCACCACATGGAAGTCGAATGAGCTGGCTGTCTATGGAGCAAATAAGAAGTAGGTTTTTAGCACGCATCCAGATGTAATGTAATAAAACCACACACAACCACCTCCTCCCCGACTGCCACCGGTCAAACAAACACTCACATTATTATTATTATTATTATTATTATTATTATTAATTTTTAATTGCTTAAATAATTAAGCAGACGAAATACACAATACCAAACATAACATGTACACCAGTGAGCCCATGCCGAAACATTCAACAGCCGTTGAGAAATTGTTTAAAACATACATTGGAATTCAGTTGCTTTAGTGCGTCTGTGTTTGTGTGTGCGTTTCCCCGAGTGTGTGAGAGTAATAAAGAAGAAGGGGTGCATGCATGCATCTAGTTCTTTATCTATGCCCCCCTACATGTAAAGTTATTTATATCCTATAATCAATGATTAATTGGTATCCTATTTCTGATTTCAGACGGTACAGCTATATTGTTTGGTATTTATGACCAGAAATCCCGGAACATCACGTTGTCGGGGAAGATTAGTGACCTGTGGTATTCTCATGGTGCGTTCTGCGGTTGTTCTACATATTTAGTGCACTTATTACCAAACTTATATTGAAATTCATTCACCAATATTTTATTGTCTGAACCCAAGCAGTATGTCGACCTTCATAGATCTATCTCCTCATATTTTCGCCTTCGTTTATTTATTTGCGTCTGTCTTTAATAAACAGAATAGGGAAAACATTCCGTTTCGGCAAGGAAAGTTACATAAACAGTGATTTTTTTTTTCAGCTAAAATGTTAACTTCCCTGCTGATGCACAGTGGAAGCCATCTGTAGAATCCATGTTGGGATTGGCTTTGATTTCCACGCAGCTTTCGCATGGGCTTTATTTATTTATTTATTTGGAGGGTGGTGGGTCGTCCAAGTGGACTAGCTGTCTTGTTAATAGTTCTAAGTGTATAATCACCCGATGTGTTCTGAGCAGCTGTGTAAGGCATTATTTTTTTGCTCTCCATAGGTGGCTCCATACCTCAATCTGGGTACAGGACGGTCCGAAAAGTACTGGTTGTCACAGATGAACTAAAAATAACCTTTACTGTGATCGCTGTGATATCCATTGTTATCACTGTTGTGTTCCTTTTAGTAACGATCGTCAAATGGAAGACGCAGTACGTATTGGAACCAGTGTTGGCAGAAATGCGTACACCTAACTGTCATTAAGTGTGTAAATTTAATCAACCATAGATTAATATCTGAAATGGATCCAACAAGCGATCCATTTCAAGAATTTTTGTTCACATGGGAAGGATATTTTCAGTTTTATTGCACTAATTGTCATTCATATGTTTTCTGACTGCAGAAGCACCGGTGTGACAGGAATGACAGCAAATTTCCAATTACTTTGTACAGATGACATTCGTCCCATATTCTAGCTCCAATACTACGACTTACCCTAACATGTACTAACCATATGGGACCCTATAGCCTGGACTTCCATTCCCAGGACTACCATTCCTGTCACAACGACAAACACGATCACAACTAACACAATACAATTTAATATTAAGGTTAATTCAAAACTCATGGCCACTGATGAACAGCGTCATTGCACTGGGATGCATCTTCCTGGCTGTCGGTGTCATTTTTCAAGGTGAGCATTCGTGCAAGTCGATTTCAATGTATCTTTTTATGTACAGACACATCTAACCGTCACCAAACATATAGCCATCACCTGCGGCTGTCGTTGCCGCCGCCGTCGTTTAAGGAAAACCATGTCACTTGCTCTTCTCAAACAGAAAAGTAACATATGACTAAAATAAAGCTTTATATGGTAGACCTATCTTAATGGTTAACTTATCTGGATTTTTTTCTTTTTCTTTTTTTTTTTTTTTTTAAGAATTAAAATTTTCACATATCGCCATTTTCAAAGTGTGCCTTTGAACTTCCATGGGCTTGAAGAAGTCACATTTTCAGAATATCCATGATGCTCTTATTTCATTATTAAAATTTAATTGTCATTATGCTGTTAAGCAAAATGTAATGTTGCATCAAAATTGAAGAAAACTTTATTTTGGACACAGCTGCCAGGATGTTACTTATGATTCTCAAACTTACTGAAAAGGTTTATAGGACTGAAGTGCAGCTTTTGTTGGAAAAATCAATGTTCTGTTTTGGAAGCAGTGCTGTTCTGTATGAAAGGTTCATTTTCAGATAGTGCTGTATGATGCTATATGGATAGTGGTCAGTGTGTAATTTTCACTTGGGTAATTACTGTCTAAATTCAGAGCTATTAAGCCACTTACCTACTTAACTTTCAAATGGCCAAGGAATGAGATTACATAAAACACACATGTTGAGATTTCCCTGTAAACTCCCATAGGTTTAGCTCACTTAACAGTGTCACATAATTAGGAATTGATGATAATTATGAAGGTAAATGTTGTTCAATATTGCAAATAAGTTTACAAAAGAAAAACTATTTTGTGCAACGCCAACATTAATGCTTTAAATGAATAAAAGTGCCATATTTTTCTCAAACTCAATGGGGTTGTTCATACCATGTTAATACAGCTAGATTAAAAGTTTGAATAACAGCTTTATTGGAGATTTTTGTTATGTTTTTTTAAAATTATTTTTCAAACACTGGCATCTTCAAGATGTGACTTTTAACTCCCATCCAGTAGAAGCTTTGTACATTTTCTGTTTTTCCACATAAGCAACAGTATTGTTCTTTATGTCTTTAAACATTTTGTAATATTATTGTATGGCCTGTCAACATTTTTCAGATATTGAGATTTTCATTATGTGTATTTGAACTCTCATGGTCTTGAAACTGTAATCTTATTGACCATGTTACGTTTTGTACATAATTAAATTTTAGTGTTGATTGATTGTGCTGTTATAAGCATTATTTATTATTGTATCAAAATTGACAAGGTGACCTATTTTCTGCATCTTTATTTTCTGTTTTTCGTCTGTACATTTGACAGCTTTGCTACCTTGTTTAAAAGAAACACACTTCTGTGCGGGCTGTGAATTTTAGTAACCCGTTTTTAGTCTGTGTTGGTGTCTTCTACCGTGTTGCATTAAAAAATTATCACATTTGTTTTATGCCCCATACATAGTCTGATGGCGACCCACTACAAAGCTGGTCATCGTATCCTCTGACAGACACTGAATAGTTAATCCCGTCAGGAAGTTTTCAAGTGGGTCGGCCAAATTTGACCCTGACTAGTTAGTCCCTATTCTAAACGGTACCTTAGTTGCATTACATACTATACATAGGCATATATTCTAAAACCAGATGATTTGTTCCAGGCAATGCGACAGAGTTGTCGTCGCCATGCAATGCCTTTGTCTGGCTGTTTGTGACTGGGTTTACACTGTCGTTCGGTACCATGCTGCTGAAGATGTGGGGAGTGTATCGACTCTTTCGTTATCAGCAGGATTGGGTGAGTTTTCATTAATGTAATTTTTTGCTTTGAGTTAAACGCAGCGTTTTATTAACATCTTGCATGCTGCCACAGCTGTTGAATTCTCGCATACATGATATTGTCGTATTCAGCACACTGCATGTGGGACACAATGCAATAGTTATTAGCTAACTAAAAATGACTAAGACTTTTAGTGGTCAACTCATTCTGTGCATCCACTTAAATCTCACGAACAGCAGGCTGTCACATCTCGTGAAATCCAAAACACTCACATAGAAAGGATTGCAGGCAAATACAAGGATTAACCCAAGCAGACACATCCACTATCAACAAAGCAAGCTATATTAAATGCTTTAATTACAGCTGCAGAGCCCGTGCTATTTCACATATATACCACTCATATATACCTACATATACCACACATATATCCACGTACATTGTAGGCCTATGTTGTTCATCTTAAATGTGGCAAACTAAAATGTTACGATTGCAGTTGTTCTTTTCGGATCTTTATGTACAATATATATTTGCCAGGGTCTGCAAGTAGAACTGCGCATGCTGTCTGGAGTTGCCGTACTGTTGGGTATTGATATTTTGATGCTGCTAATCTGGCAGTTGACTGACCCACTCGTGGTGCAAGATAGGCTTTTACCCGAAATTGTAAGTTGACCATACTGGTGGTCTCCACGATGTATATGTACTTTGTGAAAGAGAAGATATTGCTTTTTGACTCAACTACTTATCAGGTTGGTAATTGGTCTTTTTTTTCAAAGTCACATTGCTTTTGTACTTTTTTGATATTGTACCAAAGGTGGCACATGTGCGACCAGTACATTAGCTCAGCTGCTGTCTCACAGTTTGTCTTGAATATAATATTACTCCCGTTCCTTCTCAATATTAGAGAGATGGTGCCAAGATGGTGCGGTATCAGACCTTCTATCGCCAATGTCACAGCGGGAGCGCTATGGGCTGGACCATTGCGTTTATCGTGTACAAAGGTCTGCTGTTGCTGGTCTCTGTTTGCTTGGCCTGGCCTACCTGGTACGTGAACCAATATGTACACCGTAACATCCAACACACTATCTGTCGCATCCAGAACACTTTCAAACCTTCGAATCATGTCAGACACAACATGGAAACACATTATTGACATAATGTTTCAAGTTTACTTTCAGAAATTTTTACTGTATTCCCTGTAGGGCCTGTAGTTTCTGCCTACGTCATGGATACAACTTTCGGTTCTACTTATATTATTATACTGCTATTTGATATAACGTAATATTTGCATTAGTTTCTTATTTTTCTAGGGTGATGACGGTGAAGAGAGATACTGGTGACAGCAGTCTGGTTGGTTTTGCTATGGTTATCATTGCCTTGGCGACTGTTGTCGGAGTTCCAGTAGGTGTCCTCGTACAAGAAGAGCCCAGTGTCAACTTTGGAGTCGTAGCTGGCTTCACGCTCTTCGCTATTATAACTACGGTTTTGTTGCTTTTGATTCCCAAGGTAAAACACTATTTTAAAATGGCACTTTTATTTGACTGTTTGATTTAAGCAAAAAATTTAAATCAGCGAAGTATTCATTTTTTGCCATGAAAGAAAGATACAGATACTGAGGATGGACACCAAGTGAGTTGACGTATATACTTGTGAAAACTATTTCATGATTTTGTATGGATTAATTCTGAAAATTCCCGGCGGCCTGTTTGTCTTATGAATTTAATTCAGAAAGAATGAAACCAAAGAATCACGCCAAGCTTTCAACCAATCAAACGCCAAATTTCTTTGTAATGCTGTAGCCTTTGAAACAAGGTATGGATGTGTTTTTTAAAAATATTTTTGTGATTCTTACAGCTCATGAAACTCAAGAGGGGGGAGATGGAACCGTCGCTTTGGTCGCCATTGCGGCTCTACGTCGAGGAGTTCTTCAATGACGCATGTGATAAGTAGCCTTTTCGTGCCACTGAGAACGGAGATACTAATGCAAGTGACGACAACCAAGGCGATGGAAGAACAGCACAAATCTAGGTTGTTTAAACACTGTGGCTTAATTATGGCTGCGTTCAAAGTGCTGTCACGCTTTTTGTTGTTAACTCAGTGAATGGACATTTTTTTCAACCCCTCATTCCACCGTGGATGACTTTATATGGTTGGCCGTTTTACATATTTGTTAAGGATATTACAAATGGTTAAATTTGTCAATTCATATTTTACTGTACAATACCCTGTATATTCAATAACAATGGTACGGGTGACTGCATGTAAACACAGATCTATAATATATATATATGGAATATTTGAAATACATCACTGTTAAAATTTATTTTTTTAAGATATAATGGTATAAATTTTATGTACTGCTGTTATCGTCTCACAACAAAAATTTCACCCTCAACCTCAACAATTGTTAAAATCATTTTGTATGTTACCAAGTTTCTATACTTATTCTGTTGCAACAGTACGTACTGAGATCCAAATATGACTTTGTTCAATTTGTGCTTTAACTTATTCGGCATCAACTGTTTCTGTTAGTTTAATAAATCGCATATATTTAGTATATTTAGGACGTTCGTCTAGAACATTGGTATGTAATATTCCATGTCACATTTAAGTTTATATTGCGTTTTTAATGAACCGAATTATCATTTTAAGTATCTGGTAACTGGTAATAGAAAGCATCGTTTCAATTTTCAATGTCAGTGAGCGGACCAAAGCATTCATTGTATTTGTTGTCAGGATTTTCTGTAGACTAAAATTCAGTGTGTGCGTGAACAAACTCTTTCTTGGAGA